GATATGCCCTTTATCTAGGAGAGTGAGATGTCCACGTTCAACACACAAAATTAATTAAAAAGTTGAATCATGATATATATATAAAAAGGATATTATTAGCTGGCTTTAAAAATGAAAAAGGGCGTATCTCTTACAAAATGCATTTGAGATGGCAACATTCACATTGTTCTCGGTAAGACCATCTTAGATACCATCCGATACAAAGTCTTTCATTTCATTCAACTGCATCAATTCAAAATCAAAGAATCTGAACCATGTAAGGATCTCAATCCGGTTTTATGATCCACGACAAGTTGTTGTTACAATCAAACTCTTCATATTTGATTGCATTAAGAACCTCAAAATGAAAACTTGACCTAAATTAGAAAAAGAAGCTCAAAACGAAAAAATATTGTTGAATGCAAGAAAGAACATAAACACATTAAACAAAAAATCACAAAATTGTAACGATAAAAAAATGAGAAACTTAAAGATGAGCATAGTCCATGCGCAAAAATGACACACAAATTAAAGAATCGTACGTAATATCAACCAAAATAATCATTTAGTCAGAAGTTGATACAAGATGTCAAAAAATCATGCAATGGTTTAACGACTATTTTCGGTTTCTTTATCCACATTTTCTTGAACTTTGGCTTTACTACTATAAAGTCTAACTCCTGAGTATCCATAACTACCAAAAAAAATTATTGATTATATAACGTCAATTTTAGACTATCGTCGATAGGGCGATGAATTAGTAACGATAACATGTGGTAATTGTGATGTGTTTAAGAAAAAAATGATAATCGTGTCTTTACACAGGGCTGGTCAAATAAAAATGGAGTTTCGAATAGACCATAATGTTATGTTTTTTCAAATGTACAAAAAATATATTAATATATTTTCTACACAAGTTTTGTGGTTTTGAAGGTATAACTGTCATTGGGTTTATTTTCTGAATTTGGCAGTATATCGATTTGGATTGATTCGCTCTTTGTTTTTACTAAAAAAAACCCGATCGAGGTGTGATCAGGTCAAAGGCTTCTATTTAAACCTCCCAAAATCGTTTTTAATTCGACATAGAAGAAGTGTAGGAACTTGATGATTAATCATTGTTCGTTCTTATTGTATTAGAAGTTTATGATCCGCTAACGCTAGTCATATGTCTCGTATTCGTATTGTCCATATCAGTTTTCTTGGATCATTCAAAAGTTTCAAAGCTTTGGAACTAAGATATCTTCGTTTAGACCTTGTCTTGTGATTCGTATGATTCCACTTGTACATTAACACAAAGACAAATCTTTATATCATACCTCAGTAAAACCGATATCATAAAACAACTCCGAAACTTTTGAATCCACCAACAAAAACAAATCTTTCTGAACCAAAGCTCAAGCAATCCCCAATTTTGTTATAAACCTCATTGAGCTACGTATC